TTAAATGATTGAAGTTATTTAAGTCTTTGACAAAGTCTCTTAAAAGTATGTTTCAGGGTTAAACTTGTTCATTAMGTTTAGAATTGCCTCTGTGTTTATTTGTCTATTTGCAAAATATCTACCAGATTTTAATAAAACTCAGACAGAAATGATTGAAATCGGTGTAAATTTGGTCATATTGAGAGTCATCCCTCATGACTCTGGGCTTCTTTTTGTTTAAAACTTTGACATGCAAGGTGGAGAAGCAATGTRTATTTTATCAATTAATACCTCTTTATTTTTCTTTTATATTTTATATTGAGGTGGGAACATAGACATGAACATTTTATGTTTTGAAAGTACTGTAAGTTGAACTGTGGAAAATGACTCACACATCAGAGCAGCTCAGTTATTCTGTTAGTGATGGCATGACGAGGCGTGCTGCCTCATTTGAACAGAGCTCGTGAACTATAGTCACTGAGTGTGAGACAAATGAACAGAAGCAACTCATGTCATCCAATTTGTTTGAATTTGTGCTCAGAGTTTAGGTAAGACCAGCTGAGTTGAGCTAATCTTATACTACATAMAGTTACTGTGATGCTTCTGTACTGAAACAAATTTAAATATTTAAGACACACAATGCTTAAAATTGAAAACAACAGTTTGTAGTTTAATACTTCCTGCAAATCTCTGTGTACAGTGAGCTCATTCTTCATCGTCAGCTTGGCTCTGCTTTAAAAATGCGCTCATTATGTGTATCCATGCACAACGTGCACGGCTGCATCTTTAGGGGAAAAAAAGCCGAACACACAGGAGAACTCGCGAGGTGTTGACTGCAGAGATTAGATCAGGAAATTAGAGGAAGCAAAGCTCAAGAYGGCACAGAGGAGCAGAAGAGAACCAAACAGCTTTTCTGAATATTCAAATCTCTGTTTAATTCTGCTGCTGATTACCAAATCTTTCATCTGCGAAAGAGGGGTCGACCTTATGTGGCTTGGYTTAGGTTTTGCATGTATGCTTGAAGCCTGCAAACAGACAGAATGYATCTGAAGCAGTTTTTATGTAACTAAAGATCTGTTTGTTTCTTTGTATCATTACTTATAGCTTCACATTGTAGCTCATAGTCATAGTGACAATATTGCAACTACCCTACTGTCATCATTATATATGTACTATCATATTTCTAAACATGCAACATACAAAAACAAGCTCATAGTCTTTACGTTTCTTTTACTTATTGATAATTTTTACATGTCAAATTTGGAAAAAAGCAGGTATCCATAATATCTCAATATCACATTGCGTTTCACTGCAGTCTCATAATAACAGGATCACAACAGCAATATATCAGTATCAGTGTCACAAAAGCATAATATCAGTACAAAAATATCAGTATAGCAATATTTGTAATATACTACTGCAAATCTCACAATAACGGTCCTACTATGTTGTATCATATTATCTATTTATAACTTTCACACATTTTTCTGTGCAGGGTCACACTTCACGATTGGCGTGACATTATTTTTATCATTGAATAACAATGAAATGGTAATACAACATCATAAAATCAGTATCCAGAATTCAATATCACAGCATCAGTTTGACAATATCATTAGAAAATGAATGAGTAACATGAAACATAAATTATTTGCACTGATAGATGCATACATGGACATGTATTTGCCTAATATTAAAAAAAAATAACAAGTAAATTAGAATTTATCTAGATCACTCTTTCTTATCACATTTTATTTATTTTTTTTCTTTCAGCTACAGGAACAATTCTTCCTTCATGATGTGATAAAATAAGTGTGGCATTTTGCCAGAGCATGTTTGTTAGGTTTGCTTAATTAATCAGAGGTGAGCCGTGTCAGCCAGGGCTCACAGTCTCCTCTTTCCCTGTGCAAAMTGAATCCTAATTGTGTGTTGGACAAGGCACAGCTGAAGGCTATTTAGCTGATTTTTGTACATGTTAAATGAATACAGATCTTTTCTGTTCTCACTCAGAAATGTTTGAAAACTAGCAGGATATATAAATGAAAGATTTTTTTTTGTTAGATATTCTCATACCCAGAGATCCACTCCAATTTTAGTCGTTCTCTCTTGGGTTTATCACGTTTGAAAGCTTGCGTGCACTGATAATAACTAAATATTGGTGCAACAGTGTTGTTGTTTACTGACTGGAATTACTGACCCATTATTGTAAACAGAAAGGTATATAGATTWAAAATATGTTAAGAAGCTGTATGATCATATTATTCAGTATATTTCAGTTTACAGATTTATTCCTTGTGGCACAGACCAAAAACATGAAGATTATTGGTAACTCTAAATTGTCCCTGGTGATGATTGGGGCAAATCCTGCTGTTTTACAACCAAGCACGTGTGTCACTCAATGAAACATGTTAAATATAACTATATTTAGTGCTGTCTGGTTCAATACTTGTATTGTACAAGTGCAGTAATTTGGTTAGAAACATCCAACAAAAAAGACATCTACTAAATACATTCATGTCTCTTAAACCAATAGTCCCCAGTTTTGACTTTTAATACAAAACATCCAGCCAACTGTCAATAAATTTACACTTTAACCTGCATTATCAAGACCATTAACATTCTGAAGGAAGTGGACGGGTTTCTAACAACTTGTCTGTAGTTTAATTTTATGTTGTTTCGGTGTTTTGACTTGAGGGTTTATCTGATATATTCGAAAAAATGAAAGTTCTCMAAGTATTTGGAAAGTATAAATCAACAAAATTTGTTTTTATTGTCAGTTTGACATATTTCCTATAATGACTATTTAATACCATTTGTTTTTCATATTTGATCATGAATTTTATTTATCACAGTACAGTTACCTCTCAGTACAAAATGTACTAAAAGTTTAGCACACCCAAACAGACAAAACCCTTGATGTTGTTAAAACCTCTGGTAGAATTAAAGATTTCTTTATAAGTTTGAGGGACACACGTCTTTGCTGTAATCTGGCTACAAATATTCATCTTCTAATGTTAATAGTGTTTGATAATAAGAACTAAAGCAGCAGACACAGCCTCCTTTCTCATGGTAACAGACAGGCTGAGCGCACTCCCGCAGCTCTCTCTGTCGGACCTGAAGTGTGGTCACACGGACAAGTTGCACATGTCTGCAAGATAACGACAAAACTCCAGTCACGTTATTTAATACACAATTACGCTTTAGATATCCCAGACAGTCCCGGGCAGGCCGGAACTTGGTGCGGGGGGGGGGG